GGGGGGATCGATCCTGACTCGTGCGACGTTTCGCGTGGCTCGTAGTCTCTTGGTTTGGTGAAATAATCTTTTTGGGATTAAAGTCATTGAAACATTGTAGAAACTCGGCTTTAAGATGGCTGCCGACGATAATTATGAGTGGATGAGCAAATATTGATGTGGCGGCGCCTTAACGTTGCAAGTGGAAAGACTGTATGTATGCAAGGGGGATTCTTATGTATTTGCCTTATCAATAACGCAAGCGCGTTTGCCTTATTACTTTATGGATTAATGGGGTATTAGGGATAATCTGGGGATCTTTTTGTAATCTAGATATATAACGAGTGTATATACAGAGATTACGTGGTTGTTACTGATAAGAAAGGTCAATTGTGTAATCTTGGATTTAGGTTGATTTTCAGATTTTTCTTTAAGAGTTTCACTATGCAACATCATTTTTGTGTTTCTTTCACACTTTCGATACCTGATGGTCTGTAGAAGAAAACTTGAGGACGAATTTGAATTTTTTTCCTTCCCGCCATTTCCCGGTCGCTCTGCACGTACCGCACTGCGCTTGGTCTTTCTGGTCTTTTCGTAACCGACGTTGTTATCACTCCTGACGATTGTACAGGATCGCTCGGTTTTGAGGAATTTTTTGATTTCGGAGACATTTTTTTGAGTTTCTTGCTTAAATCAAGGTCTCCGACCTTGTTCGATGATAAATTATTGGCCGGATCTTCCAGCGAACTTGCTAAGTTGGTTTGGGCACACGACGATTTTGATTTCAATAATTTTTGCAATATCGGATATTTCGAAATCGGTGGTTTACAGGACGACGAATCCTCGGATTTTGATAGGCGGTTGTCGCTGCTCATTTCCAACGTGGTGAACCCATCGCGTTTTTTCTGCCTGTTGGTACCCCTGGTACCTGATGAAACGAATTGGCTGGATGCTTCTTGCGAGATCGCAGCAGCGATTGGCGCTGCTGGTAGCTGATCGGATTTTTGATTAAACTCGGATGACGTCATGTAAGACGGATTAGACTCCTTTGCCGAGGCTGGAGAAGTCGCTGATAAGGACGGAGAACATTGAGCGGATGATTTCTTAGGTGTTGGAGCACTGAAGATCTGATCTTCTCCTAGGGATTTCGATTTATCTAGTTTCTTTATGTATTCGTTGTTCGTGATGTCATCCTCCGAATCATCATTGTCCATCGACCTTCTATTGGGCTTCACGTACAATTCTGATTCCGACAACGACTTCCTTTTCTGATCTTGCAACGTGAGCTTGCTCAGATCATCCCCAGATTTAGAATCTTCAGATAATTTTTCGTGGTCCAGGTCGTTGTGATTGTCGGACAGACTTTGAGATCTTCTTCTCGTCCAGGACTCTGAGGCTTTTTTACAAAGTCCCATAAATTCAGTTTCATCCTCCTCCTCGTAGTCCTCCTCCGTCTCGTTGTCCTTGTTCAGTGCGGTATCACTGCTCTCGGAATTCTCTTTGAGGAACCTGAGGTAGCTCTCGCTGATAAGGTCCTTTTGTATCGGCGAGAGGATCCCACCTAATCTCTCATCTATAACGTCCATAAGAATATCCTGACTGATGTCTTCCACGACCAGATTCGAAGCGTCGGAAACGACGCCGAGGTCGGTCTCGGTGGTACCCAAAGGGTCGACCTCAGGGTCGTCCTCAGAAGCCTCACCGGAAACTTTGCCAGGACTAGCTACAAGCTTACCAACTGATCTGATCTTTCTACGGCGTCTCATACCAGGTCTGACCTTGGCAGCTTCCGCCCTGGCCTTGTTGGTGGCAGTGAGCAAGAAGAAGACTTCAGATATTTCACGAAGACTCTTCTCCAGAACGGACACGTCCTCGGGCTCCTCCTCATCGTGAACTTGAATACACTCCAAGGACTTATCTCCTCCAGGTACCACAGCCGTCTCCTCCAGTTCATCCTCGGACCCCACCGGATCCTCGAAGAATTCCTTGGTGATGGGACTGTTGGTATGTAACTTTTGAATTCCCCGCCTCAAGGGTCCAGGTGACACCTGGCCAAACAGATGCCGGTGTTCTCGTTCAAGCATGACCTTGAGAAGGTCATTGCTGACATTAACGTGCCCAGCCTCCTTCGTAGGACTCGAATAAAAACGTGACTCAAGGTTCTCACGGGCATCCGCCTGGACCACCTTCGCAGCATCCTCTTCATCCGTTTCCTCCGGCTGCTCCACCCGTCTTGGACTCTGCTTACCCCAGGCATTCAAACGCTGTATGAGTCTCTCCATCGACGGGCTCATCCTCTCCTCCAGCTTCAGGACCTTCATCCGCACCTGCGTGCTCGTACCACTTTCGCATCTCGAGGAAATCGGCGAGGCCGTCAACGGCGTCCTGCACTTGTCTGCTCTCTCGGCTTTTCTTTCCGCCATTACCGGAGCCACTGAACGCTGATGGAAAAAAAAAAGTATCCAAATTATTTCTTCATCCAATATTATTCCACGCTTTCACTATATATGTACCACTTTTCTCCTGGAATTAAGTGAACTTGCTCGACGTCCTCTTCGTGCTTCCGGTTGATGCTGATTTTTACGTAGTTCTTGAAAAATGTATTTCGATGTAATTCTTCATGGAATCTGCACCGATCTGTACACTGTAGACACGCTTAATGGAACGTGTCACCGGTAACGTATGTACGGAGTAGAATATGGCTGCGTTCATTTTGAAAATTTACCGAGGTTTTATTGATAATCAAAAATTAGTTCGTTCACGAACGTAAATAACGTGCTAATACTTTATCGAGGATAGGACGAAAATTCGTCGATCATTTATACGTTTAATTAAATATTTCGTGTCAGCCTGTGCACGTGGGGCTGCGTTTGATCGGTGCGAAGAAACCAGTGCTGCCAAAAGACATACGGGAATCAGTAGAAACCGCGTAATTGGTATTATAGGGAATTTTATATACGTTATGAACGACCTTCGACCCAGTCTCGCCACGTTGAACGGGGATAAGAAAAATTTGTGTACAACACACCGAGCAATCGTATGGAGGTATTTTTATTGAAATTACATTTCGTTTATTTTTACTAACTAAACATTCCTTTTCTTTTACATACAAATTACACTGTCTTCCCAAATAAAATATACTAAATCACACAAAAAAAGAGAGTACCCACTATGCACTCCGGTTATTGCAGCTTTTCCAAATTTGTCTGGTTTCCCTCCTCTTTTTCACGGTCTGCAAGACGTCAAAAATGAAAATTACAAGATGATAACTTTAGGTCGAAACGATGCCCAGCTTTGCCACTGGACGATCGAACGACCACGGATCATCGTACGAAGTCGGTTTACGTATTTCCAAAAAAAAAAAAAAAAAAAAAAAAAAAA